ATCTGATTTATCATCACGGGTTTATTACGAATCAACTGAACGGCCGGCTCCCAGTTGACTTGTTAGCTCAATTGGAAGAGCGCTGCACTAGTATCGCAGAGGTCAATGGTTCGAATCCCGTACAGGCCTGATTTTTTTCAGGTCTGATTTTCGCTATTGCATAAATAGCGCTCTCTACTGCGAGGATCGTGCATCATACGTATCCTCTTTATTTTTTGCTCGAAATTCCAACGCTGTGTTGGTATTTCTCTTGGTGATCACGTCTCTCTTTTAAAAGAGTGAATGTTACCAAAGGTCAAACATTTGGTGGCAACAGCCAAAAATTCAATTTGGCTCATATTCTCAAGTTAGGTAGGCCTTATGGTGAAACAAAGCACTGCATACTTCGTTTGGCTGAATATCGATTTATTTTCGAGAAATCGATAATAACTGAATTTCGACCAAATGCCGCTTTTGAAGTTCAAAATTTCAGACAAATCTCGGAGCGATGCGCCACGAATTCAAAACACTTGGACCGATAAAAACTACCAAATCGTGAAAAACAACATCATTACATATGTTGACTGCAATTTTTCAAACTCATTAATGATTCATCAAGTTACAAACCAATCACGATACGCCAATTTGGCCACATGCGTACGTTTAGAAACCCCGATGAAATACTGGAAAGGGGCTTTTCCACTTCACTTTGATGAAATATCAAACCCTAGAGCTTGATAAAATGTCAACCCCCCCCGCGGCTCATATTTTAAATCAGTACGGCCATCAAGAAAAATTTTCGCTACGTGTTCTTCAAATAGACGATTAAAATTATTACCAAGCTCAAAATTTGCCTCTGTGATATTTCTATGTTCACCCCCGCGAAGACCGAATAACTTTCTATTGTAATAATATTCTGTATTAAGCAAAGATTTAGCTGACTGTCAACCTAAAAGTCCCATTTCCCAGAACTTGCTTTCTTCTTCCTCTGTTACCGACAACTTTTCCGCCTTCTTATTCTGAAGACCTCGACAATGAGTACTTTTACCAGAAGCTGCCTTTGCCACTCTTCAATATCCCAAAGCCCATTTATTTTTGTACCGAGTTAACTTGGGTACCGCGTTTTGAACCAGATTAACCCCTTCTTCGGCTGTTTTTGCTTGCCGAAAACGTGACAACGCCATATCTCATGAAGAATGACCGAGCTTTTGTGGTACAGCAATATGTACGGTAAGATGATATTATGTTAAATAAACTGTAGATTGGATGTAAATGCGTAACAATCGAGTTTGCGTGTGAATGTATATATTTTCGAATAACTGACGGCATCGTCAAATCAGCTCATTTTATCCAACTTTAAAATTTGATTACATCGCACTGAATAGTTTTCCCAAAAAATCCTTTGGAGATCGAAAAGAACCACACTTCGCCTTCCAAAAGCCAGATTTTCAATCGATTATTTTGTATAGCACATCATGAGTTAAATGACAGGTTTCTTTTGACCTATTTTTAATCTTGTTCGAATAAGGTCGGATAAATTCAATTACGTTGTGTAAATAAATGATCAAGAATTGCTCAAATTGTTGTCAAATTATGTAATGATGTTGTTTATCAGGATTTGGTACTTTTCATCAGTCCAAGTGTTTTCGCTTCGTGGCGCGACGCTCCGAGATTCGTCTGAAATTTTGAGCTTCAAAAGCGGCCTTTGGGCGAAATTCAGCTTTTATCGATTTTCTCGAAAATAAAGCGATATTCAGCTAAACGAAGTATGCAACGCTTTGTTTCACCATAAGGCCTATCTAACTTGAGAATATGAGCCGAATGGATTTTTCGGCTGTTGCCACCATATTTTGAATTTTCGATTTTTGGCCACATTTGCTCTTAAGAGGCTATTTTTCTGCACCAACATTGGTCGACTTGACTGGTGTAAAAATCTCTCTGTCTATGTGAGCAAAAAGGTATAGACTTCGATATCTATCTTTTATATCTATGTCTCATTTTGCTTAAATATGGAACGAGGTGATAGGATTCTTCTATTATAGCTTAAAAGGAAGTCTTGCCTTATTCTTATAGCATTTTACGAATTTGCAGAAGAAGAGGGAGTGCATTGAAAAAACGAAAGATGAAGGAGGAAGAGGGGGTGATAAGGCTGGAGCGCAATTTTCATCACCTTTGCAGGTAAAATTCTAAATCAATCCTTTGAATTACAATTCGGCTCCTCCTTATTTTTAAGCCAGCACGTTATAACAATCATGCATTCAAAAAATTAAGAATACTGCTTATGCATAATTTACATTCATAGAATGGAAGTAAATGGTTCTGAAATATACTAAGTTGGCTGATCATACTCTAAGCATCCAAGTCCCCTTATTCAAAATCGGCTTTTAATTGGTACAAGTCAAATCTCAAGTTCTACGGCGACAGGTTTAATCAAGTCTCAGTTCTCGGAGTATCATAAAAACACTGACTAGTTAATTAAAAATGCTTGTCATGAATCTTGAGATGAACTTACTTTGTTAGTGCGCTTCAATTCTGTCTTATTACTCTTCCTGAGTATTGAAAGAATAGTGTTTGGCACAGTGCTTTAGAATCAGCTGAACCTTGATTAATGATATTTTGATATATTTAAGCAATAGAACACATTTTTCCAGGCTCTATAAGGTGCTAAAGCCCACTTGGGATGTTGGGAAATCACGAAGACCGAAAACCGAACGCGAGTGATTTATAAGCTTACCTCGTATTCTCCAAACACCCCGAGTGGCTTTAGCATGTTATGGAGCCCGAAAAAATACGTTTTATTGCTTTTATGACATAACTAGTTACACGTGGACTCTATAACCTGATAAAGCATCCACTTGGCAACTAAACTGACAGATCAGACGAAGCGTACAATTTAGGCTTCTAGTAATCAAAATATAGATGGCTGGTAGCAAAGAAAAGGACCTGCGGCTAATCAGTTACGGATATAGCAATTCGGTTTAAGGCAACAATGGGTTGCCTCACTATTCCAGTGTTATTTCTGTTGATTTCGACGGTACATGGGACCTCGGAAATAAATGATTGATTGACAAAAAATATATGCGGAGAGAATGCTTTGACATGGGATACCTACTGCAGTTTGATGCATCAGAGATCAGACTAGAAGGCGACTTGAAAGGAAAAAAACACCTTGTGGTACTAGAGGCATGACAGCCTGGACTCAACTCCAATGCCACGATGCAGTATTCACTTATTTTTGTGACTTACGTGATTTCTAGGATCAGAAGAACTGTCAGGATATTCCTGGGAAAGGCGTTGATGGCAAAATTGAAGACAATTCTGATCCCGAGGTGGGTGTTGGGAATTGAAAATTAAGCATAAATGTTTTTAGGAAGACAAAGTGATGCCTTTTGGTGTTCTCTACATGCTTTATCTGTGGATAAACCTTAGGTGGATAACTTTCAAGGGTCAAAATACTTTAAAAATTTAATGAATGATGATTGCAAATCAAATGCAAATGCTTTTTGTTGTTCATGACCAATCACCATCAGTAAAGGGAATGCTCTTTATGTATAGAAAAGGGTAACTACCATTTGGCAGGTGACCTCAAATATACACTGAAGAAGAGACAATTCAGCACCCTTCTACATCCATCGTTTCTTGGCAAAATATCTGAGCTGACTAAAGTATTTGGGCTTAAAATTTTCCATTTTGGTCTCCAGGATTCATGGTCTAGTGATGAAGGGGAAGGAATAAGTGTGGAGGAATTAAAGCAAACCGAAGGATATCAACTGTTTAGGGAGGCCTTACAAGCACACGCAAAGAACTCAGCCAAGTCTGTCTAAGCAGCGCGCTGTTTTCACTTATGTAAGAGTGATACACATAAAACTAATTGCTTGAGGCTAGGTTATTTTCACTCTTTAATTCAATTGATTGATACCGCTTTGATGTTATATGATATTTTGATACTGCTGTGATATTATATCAATCCGTATATCAATCAATCCTTTTTTAACAACATTTTTTTCTATGAACTGATGTCAGATGAGTTTGATTCAGAAGAGTTAATAAGTATAAAGATAAGAATCAGAGTTTTAGAATTTAGACCCAATTCATCAATTATTATTTCAAGCATTTTTTATGAAAAAGCTCTTTTTAACGTTTGTGAATATATGAAAATCATATAAGCTGTTTTTACAAAGAACTGGTCCATGCCTAGATTGCCGCGTATATCGAGCACTTGCGAAGTTTAGAGAGCACGAGAGAAGCGTAGGAGTAGCTCAACGCGCAGCCGAAAGCAACTCTACCTTCCTGAGTGCTCTCCAAACTCCCCAAGTGCATCCAAGACTCGATATGCACACAGCTAAAGGCATGGACCATAGCATGCATGCACGGCTGTGCCGTACACAAGGATTTTTACCATGGTAGCTCCTTAGGAAATAGGTACGCCTTGCGCGCGCGCTATATTATTATGACTGGCTTTTTTAATACACACTTATGTCTATTGATAAAAAAGAGAAATTATTTTACCGTTGCAATGGAATATATTGGTCTCCCTCGCCATTTTAAATCAAAGGAATCTTTCACTGTTTTCTTAAAAGACACAAAAGATTTTTTACTTAATTAGATGATCCATTTTTTATGAACAGATGTACAGTATTTCGATATTTAAATTTTTTATATATTTTGACTTTTAGACTTTTTGCATTTTTACTTATGTATTTTTATAAAGATGTAGTTTGCTGAATTTAATAAATGAACGTACATTTTTTATGCATTGTATTATTTTTTAATTTTTTTTTATTATACTAGTATGTTTCTTGTTGTACATTAAAGTTCGATATACTGCTATATAGAAATGCGGGAATCAGACCAAGTGCTGTACACAACTGCTTAATTGGAATACGATGAACTAAATTAGATACAATGATATAGAGGGCTGTGGTCAAGGAAGTGCAAACTAATAGAATACAGGTTATCTAATAGCTGAGGTATTTATCCAAATAAGGCCAAACACCATTCTTCTGTTACTTTATAAAGGTGTTTCTGGAAAACATATCTTTTTGGCAAGATTCCACTAAAACATTTGATGATGTGCTTTGCAGATATTTTATATAGAGAAGCCATTTTTTAATTGTTAAATTAATGTATTTTTCAGCCATTGTACCAGTTTTTTACTATTTTCCGTTGAGTGCAGTTTTTGATACTGTTTACGGGTAGAAAATAAACCTTTTTTCAAAACTTTTTGTGGATTAAGTGCGAAATACTTAAAAGGTGGACAATGTCGAAATGCACATGTTTTCACCCAAATGCTAAACAAAAAACAGTATCATCCGTCTTTTTAAAAAAGGCGTTTTTCTTCAGCACTCCACCCAATCGACTAACACTCACCAAAAGGTAACAATTTTGCATTTTTCCGGTGAAAACTATATTTAGTAACATGTTTTCCAGATATTTGAAACAATCAGACTTAATCTTTTTATGTCATAGTAGAATTACTGGAAACTTTCACTTATTACAGATGGAGTTTATCCGCTTGGCGTTTGGGCTATCGTTTGAGCGGAAAAATCCGTCCGTAGCCTACAGTGCAGGCCTTGAACTCGGTCATTAAGAAGTGTTTCTCTCTTTTTTAAATTTATTACTTGAACTTTGGAGTTACGTAAACGCAAAACAAGTATTATGCACGTTGCACTCTCATGCTAGATATATCTATCTGATCATATGGAAGGAAAAGGGATCAAAAAGGGACAATTAATTGCAAAATTGAGAGTTGTGCTTTTTCGTTACATCTTCTATTTTAAGTAAACATTCTGGGGAACACAATTAATTTCCTGGTTTATACTGTAGTGATTCTGGATTGTTGAAGAGATCGATAAACAATTTCTCATTCACTTCCAGTGAACAGTACATTTACACCTACCATTCATGGTTTATGTTATTTTATGTGATGTACATGCATTAACGAATGCATATCAGTATTACATTATAGAGAATGCAATCGCACGCACCCTTCTAACAAGAAAACATGTTTTTGGGTCTTTTTATCTGTGCTGGAAAACTGTCTTTCAAATAAAGGAAATCTCAAAATGCAAACACCAGGAAAAATATTATACAACAGAGATAACATTATGAAAATAATGAACTAGGATAGTTTAGAATGGACAGAGTGACGAGAAATGAGGAACAGAAACCTTGGAGAAAAAGGGCTGAGTATCATACAAATACTGGTTATGGACTGATAACTGATGTCACAGGTTGCTTTTATCCACAAAACATGAAGTTAAAATGATCAGAGATGTTAGCCCTAACAATTAGTGCCTTATGCTAGGGAGAATCAATAGTAATTTCGACATTTTGATCCTGAATTAGCTCTGCTTGCCTTTCTACCATACAGCCTTGGAATTGTCGCTCCCATAGGCATTCTTAAATTACTAACTCAAAATCAGCAGATTCTGAGTGTGAATAGTATTTTAACGGCTCTCTTATGGTAAAATAGAACTCATACAGGCCTCAAAGGATATAAACCAAACAATGGCCTATTAAGTACAATCATCCCAAAATTACCCCAAAATTCTCCAACAATCCTCACTGACGATTTATTATCACCGGTCCAATTTGACTGTTAATTAAAGATATTGTATGTGCCATCCTTTCGTATTGGAGGGCGTAATATGTCATGCCTTCAGCCCTAAGACGAAAAAGAATTTGAGAAATTATACCAACACGAAAAAAGGAAGGCACTCTAGTGTAAACAAAGGTCATGATTTTAAAAATCTGTGAGGGTAAGATTTCCACTCAGCCCGATTCTGTCGTCAAACATCGCCGTAGTCCCACCCGCAATCTATTGCGGTTTTCGCCATTGGGCCATTATCCAAGATGTTGATCAAGAACTTTCATGCATAATTAAGTACGAGGTTTTGCAGAAATCTTACCCACGTAACGTTATATAAAAACACTCTTGCAGACACTTTTGTCGTAAGTTTCTTTCAACTTAGCCACTTGCTAAGCAAGCCACTTGACTCCGTTTGGTTACAGGTTTCATCTTTGTTCATGTTGATAACTATGAAAAAATGAATTCGTAATTCAATACGCAAAAGATGAATTCGTAATTAAATACGCAAAAAATGAATTCGTAATTCAATACGCAAAAAATTAATTCGTAATTCATTACGCACACTCGTGTGTCCTTGGGCCCTGCTTCCCCGGCCACTAAAGAGATAAAAAACCAGCTGAACAGGTTAAGGTGGGAGCGAACTCGTTTTGCATTAGGTGGAAAACTCACAATGGTGATCGTGGGGAACTTGCAATGGGGCTCGAATTCACCAGTTACCGTGTACTAAGGTGAGGGCGAGACTGCGTCACTCTTCCTTGAGCTACGCAAAAGAGTGAAAAACTGGCGTCAGCCAAGGACAAATAGTGAAGAAAAGGGACCATTTTTCCGAAATAGATTCCATGACATCCATCCTTTAGGTCTACTCGCTTTCTTGTTCATCAGTCACCAACTGACAGGGCCTGAAAAACGCGTCAACGCTTTTTCGGAGGAATCGCCCTATTTTAATGGTTGTCCTCTACAGGGGAGAAAAGGGTTGGTTTTAGATGAAAAAAAAAAATTGAAGCGCCAACCATCGACCTCCCGCTCCTGTCTTCTACCATAGTTAGTAGAGGGGACTGGCTATGTTTCTACCATCCTCTCTGTTCATTACCTTTCCTTATTGTATAAATTACTTTCTCGCCCCAGACTTCCCTTTGCTCCAAAAATCCAAGATGGCGGGCGATTGTTAAGGTTTCGAAAAGTTCAGAGCTCGGTTGCCGAGAAAACGTTGGCACTGAAATTCAACCCGAGAGAGATTGTCTTCGGTTTGAGGAGACAGTCAAAGTTAATATTCTCTTTCCCAAGACTGTTCCCACAGGTCGCGCCACACAGCACAGAACTGCTTTGTTTTGAACTACCACGCGGTTTCTAAAGACTCTTAGAAGAAGCATCAACATAATCGCAGAACAGGGTCAGTTGATGAGGAGTTAAACTTTCGAAGTCTTGCGCAATTTATCGTAGCTCTTCGGTCTCCTTTCAAAATTATCGATTGGATAGAAATGGAATTTCATAACGTAACATTAGCAACGTTACCAGTAATACCTTGCCTCTTTCAGATATGGAAAATGAAAACGCAGATCAAGCAAGAACATCCAACTTTACTGCGACTTCTACACGATCTACACCAGAGGAAACTGTGCACATCGAGTACTTTGAGGTAGGAGCAAATATTCGGAAACCACAGGAATTAATGCCGTCATTGGATTCATTGCGGAAAGAAAGCCCCTCTCTTTCCCCTTAATTCAGGGCCCAAGCTTTACTCACAGCTCGTTACTCATGACATGCTTTTCTTTTGTTACCAGAAAATTCCTACAAGGGTTGTTATATTGATGATGATGATGATGATAAACTTTATTCGTGTGTCAATGTATTTAGCTGATGCTAACTGGAGACACAATTATGTTATTCGTCTTTTTAAGAGTGGTATCAAAACAAAACTACTACTGGAAATGTGGAAAGGAAAGATTCACAAGGCCTGAAAAAATGAATTAAAAAAATCAAGTTTTTTAATACTATGTTCATTCAAACCTTGCCTGAAAAGGTGTTTCATGTATACACTTCACCTTTACCTCAACCATTTTAATATGAACTGTTCAATTGTTTCTTTTTGTAAGGTTCCCCTTGAAGGAGCCTCAGGAGGATTAATTGCAAGTGTTGCTAATCAAGTTTCAAACAGGTGAGTGGTTTTTCAAGAGTTATCTCAGTTACTGATTGTCATGCATGGTGAAGGTAATCCTTAGCAGGAATGTTGTCAGTACTGGCCCCAGCTGTTTGAAGGTTGGATAAATCCTTATCTGGTGGATAGTGCCATATGTTTTGCAATCACTTATCTACTAGATAGCAATTTGTCTGTTGGATATTGTTATCTGCTCTTTATACAACTGGGCCCTGGATGATAACACCATAATATGAAATGTTACCCCCAATTATTCGAATCATTTACTTTACCAATTCCATCTATATTTTTCATGTTCATTGCTGTTCTGTTCTAAAGATCTGTTCATTGCAGAAGTTTAAGTTGCTTAGTTTTGTGCATGGTTAGTAGAGGGGACTCTACTAACTATGGTTTTGTGGCACCTTCTTTTAGAATTTATTATTGTGGGCATCTACAATTTTGAAAAAGATTAGTAAACTTGAGAAAGGAGCAACAGAAAATCTGAAGCTCTGAGATAACTTTTAGCTTCCTCTTTGTAGTACTTCAGAATCCTATATGAGCATTTTAAAGCAAGCTAGTCATTAGAGCTGGCCTTTTATCCACTTAGAAATTACTCTTGATACTGTTAAACTTCCTGATATTAATGTGAATTGAATTAAAAGTGAATGTACTGTTCCAAAGAATAGTGCATGACAGTACTTCTCTATCTCAAATCAGTTTCAGGCAAACTGCACTGACTTATTATTTCTTATTTATTACAGATCTTAAAACAAACCTAAACAGAGTCTGCTCTTATCTACACAAAATTTTTTATCTAAACCCATACCTAGGTTTCTTAATTTTTTATTTTATTTTACACTTTTGCTATAAAACACTAGATTTTTAAGTAACTTACTCATTAAGACAACAGTTGAATTTGATAATATTGTTAGGAGGATAGAATAATATTGCTCAATGTGGCACACTTTAGATCCTGAAGTCTAAAATGTAGATAGAATGTTTTAATTATATTAACTATTTGGTAAAATAGTGTCAACTGCAAATATGATGTGAAAAAATCAGGCTAGTTTGAGCACCTAAGCTTTAACTTTACTGGTTCTTTAGGAATTATTACACCATGATTGAAAGAGATAGACAAAAGTCAGGATAAAATAATAGCTCTAGAAATAAATGGATTGTCATATTTTGGCAAAATTGCTGTCTCAGAGAAAATGAAGAGTGTTGCAAAATAACAGTTATTTTGAAATGTGTCTTTCTGTTATAGAAGTAATGGTTTCTGAGTATGTACAATGTACATTTACATTATGGGATGACTGTTTTCTATCCCTAACAAACCCACAGTCACATAAAGCAATTCAAACCTCAGTTGAATCAAACAAGTCCTTTAACCGAATGTTAAATGAACTGTCTTATTTCTCTTTTTCAGCCACAGTGATGTTCAGTCTCCTATTACTACTGGTATTCTTACTGAAAGAGAATGTCAAAGAAGAGAGGAGCACCTTTGTTTGAATAGAAATCAACACCAAGGTATGGTGAAAGACAGTCATGATTTTTATTACTGCTTTTTAAAGGAATTTCTACTGGTACATTGATAGAAACCCAAAAAAGTTTAAAAAAATTAACAGAGACAAAGACAATTACAAATTTCTTCTTTGAAAACCAGGTATTATACCAGTTGTTACAACCGTAAGCCTTTTTTCAGAATAACTGTGAGATCCTACTAATTTACCACCAAATCTATGTTTTACTCGTGCACTTTCAATCTCTTTTCTGGCACCCTGTCATATGAATTAATGTAATAAATCACAAGTCCAAAAATTTAAAACAAATATTGAGAACTAACTGTTTTCTATAGATATGGGGTTCATTTAAGCACCTCACTCGAAATTATTGCCATGCCCTCGTAAGCCCAGACTTATCATAACATACTCTGAACTACAATCAATACGGAGTATTGGACACAAATAAAAATTTTCAGTTTGTTTTAGATAGAAAGCTGGATCCTTAAGGAAAAAAATTGATCCAAATTGGTTGCCATGGTTACATAAATGCAAACCAGAAAATACCACATGGTATTCTGTTTTCCTCATTTATTCAATTTCCAGCAATAGAAATCAGACCAGTTTTTTCTCACATAAAGGTTATAGCTAGTTGATTAAAATTATTTAAAAACAGGAATTGACCAATCGAATGGGCGAGCGAGTGCCATTCATCACATCATACCTACAACTCGCCCTTGCAAATGCGCGCAATTCACGAGTTAAAAATGTGGGGTGCCCATGTTCCTTACTGAGGGAACCTCAACCCCCCTCCCTACCCTGCCATCCATACAAATGGCATTCTAACCTGCCAAAGGCCAAATAATAGCAACAATATGATTTCAGCTTGTTTAGCACACACAAAAGAAATATACGGATAAAACTCAACAAGAAATAATTATATATATTGAAATGTTTGTTACCATGGAAACCAGAAGGGAGTAATTTTTGAGGTAAAGGGCTTCAATGTGCAAAATCTTAATTGCTAGTTTGAATTTAAAATAGAATTTTTTTTTAGAAATCTCTGTAACTGTTGCACTTGGTCAATTTTTTCATGGCCTTTTCTGTTAAATAGCTAGTGATGTAGCTGGTACAAATGTAGTATGCAAGTAATGAATCCCATTTAGGGCAGCAAGTAATACTGTATTACAAGGAATCTTTTTGTTCACCTTGATAGTCCACTTTGAGCAAAGAAGCCATAGCACAATTGTTCTGATATTCAGAAACCAAATGTACTTACAAGTACCTGTGGCCGGGTGTACTGCATGTCACACCCCACATGCTGAAATACAATTGCAATTTAATTTCATAAAAAACCTTCCCAATGCTGTGATAACTTTCCAAAATATTTTATCTTTCATTTCTATGACTGTGACAATGAATAATGAAATAAATTACATAAGGACAAAAACACTTAAAAAGAAATTTAATTTCAGTTGTGGTCAAATTTAAGCCATATTAATTATGACTCAGATACAATAATATTTGTCTATAATGTACCATAGCTGTAAAATGTAACCATGAGTCCAGCATACATTAATATGTGGCATGGTTTTTATTACACCAGGAAGAAATAGCTACAGAAAGCTGAGCTCTTTTACTTCATTCACTCTGAAAGAAACTACAGATATTTCTAATGATTCTTTTGTTAGCGGTTACCCTTGCTTTCCTGTCAAACCTCTCTGTCAGAACATTGGAAAAACCATCTACTCCTCCCCTTGAGTATGCCAACTGCAGGTGGCCAAGGCTCAGACCAGGAGCAGAAATCTTTTTAGCCCCTGAGTTGGATATTTTCTTCAAATGAATGAGTGGCTGCAAAGTTTTTAGAGCGTTACTTTTCTCAGTTAAGAATACTGCATATTGTTCCAGCCTTGAATTTGAGAAGCTGTGTTTCAGAAGAACTGCATCACTTGGATAGCTAGTGCTCAACTTTTGTAGCATCAGCACATCATCAAGGGCACCGTGTGCATTGTAAGTTGCACCAAGAAGATCTTTAGCCAAATTCTGCCGAGTGAAGGACTTTCTGTTAGGACACAGCTCTTTAAAGGCAGGCAGTGTGTCAGAAAATCCAAGAACAATTTCACAGAATTCATCAAACCTGCTGCATGATGTTAGAGCCTTGTATAGATGCCTGGCATCAAAATTCTTAGCATTGTGTGCCAACAGCAAACATGGTTTTCTTGGCTTGATCCAGTTCTAGAACTTTGACAACCTATTGTCCAAACTTGTTGCCTCGACTGGTCTGCCATCATAAAATAGAACTCCATGCTTGTTCATAGCTGAGGCACCAGCTGTTATACCACACTTTGGTAGAATGTATACACGGAACTGGTCATTTCCTTCCACTATAGCTATCTCACATATTTCTGCATTATCACCTGAATCATAGTGAAAAGGTTGCAATTCTGGAAATTTATATTAATGAATTTGAATTTTTGCATTTCCAGAAAAAAACTAGCAAGTTACCCACACAGTCTTTTTCGTCATGTTACACGAAGCTAGGACAACAGTATTTTTGATTCCCTAAAAACACCATTGCCTTGGTATCATGATCAGTCTCAGCAGTATTATAACTACCATTCAAACAATAAAATGCTAACATGAGTATATGGGGAAAAATATTAAGGGAGAAAATAGTGTTTCTAAATTTGTTTAAAAAATACATGTAAACAATGCTGTAATGGCTTTGTTACACTAACTTTAACCCTTGCAATCACATAAAATTTCAGTTCTTTTTTTGACAAATGAGTGTTGTTTGTGTAAAGAATATAAAAATACCCCTTGTGGATGTTTCCAAGTCAATTGTAACTTTCTTCAAAGCAGTTGTAGGGGTGACTTGTTTGATTTCAGGTCTTACAGTTGGTGGAGGAATCTCTACAGTTGAATCTGAGTTCTCATTCCAACCCAAACCACTTTCATACTGGATCCCTTCCCTATTTTCTAGTTGCCTGACTTTAGAACTTCTCTTCTCTCTCAGCTCCCTTCTCTTCTTTTTGTACTTCCTGGTCTTTGACCAAGCAATAAGCCTGGATCTCTTTCTGTCTAATCTTTCTGCATACACCTTGCAATGTGCACCTTGAGAGATAACTGAATGTCACTCAATACCTAGAATAATACAAAAGGTACATGTAACACAAATTGGAAACAGTTTTGTTTTACATATATTTTATCATACATAAAATGTATAATACAATATTTTTAGGCCAACTACCAGACTGCCAGTCTACATTCAATTAGGTAAAAGTGGAGGTACTCAAGTTTCAGAGAGATGGAAGGGACTAGTAGGCCAAATATATTTTTTCCTAAAACATACCTACCTCTGGGACATAAGAATACCCAAGATTCTTTTGGCTGATGGCACAAGCCACTCTGTAGTTGTTGCTCTCGCTTGCCCCATAGTGGTGAATCTTAGGAGCCTTCCTTCCTACAGAGTTGTTCAGTGACTCATTTGCTTGGCTTGAGCCAAGTGGGGCAAGCTTCTCAGCATTTTTGGCAAAGACCTCTACTACTGCTTCAAGGTCTTTCTGCAGCTTTGGATATTGGAGATCTTTTTGCCATACAGGAGTGATTTGTGTGTGGAAGTACCTGGGTATTTGAGGAAGGCACACCAGGATAGGTCACAGTTTTCATGTTTTCCAAAAGCAGGAGGGACAATTGCTCTTAGGTTTTTCTGAAGTCCTTGAACATTACCCTTGTTTTGGGACAATGCATAGCCAAAACAAGTCAACAAGTAGTTAATAATTTTAACACTGAGGATGCCTTTGTAATGCTTCTGTAGGGCATACAGAGAGGTTCCAAATGACCTTTAGGCATGCACTATGTCTGACCACTTTTCAACACCATGTGTCACGCTCTTTCTGACCTTTTTTATGGTGCTTGACTCCTCATCCCCAACAAGTATGTTAACTTGGGCATGGTGTTGTAATGCTGACACTGTCAACTCTGTGACAACATTTGTCTTCATCGCTTTGGAGGACCCTGTCCAGTTCTTTCGACAGTCATGTTTTCTTGGAGCACAGCCATTTCTTAAAGCTGCCTCACAAACTGCACAACGCTTTGTCCTTGTACTGTACCCTAAAACTTTCCCTGTATGAAGTCCAATAAGGGAACCAACACCAATGACAAATGCAAAATTCTATATCACACATGTAGCTTTTTTAGGGCTAATTAAGCTTTAGGAAAAGTTTCAAGGCATGCATTTTTGGCCAAATTCCCCTCTCCAAAATAAAAGTACACGACAGCCAGGTAACCAGACGAGGAAAAAGACCTAGTCTAGTAATAAGCTATAATTTTAATAATGCAAATTACAGAACTACAATGGAAAGCATTGCAGGTACTCGGAAAATTGTTCTAGGTAACACAAACTTCAATTTTTATCAAGAATTTTAAGTTCCTGAAAAGATTTCACTAGGCAAGGGGTAGTAGGGGAAAATCACATGAAAAATGAAGTCGAAAAAAAAACTATCGTAGAATTCTGATGTCATCATAAAAATGTTATCACCTGTTAGGCTATTGTGTCCCTTCCCCCGTTTTTGCCAGCCTGTGTCATAAGATGCTCCAATCTTTACGTTACCCGACCCTGCTTCTTCTTGTCCGTCGATCCAGCATCTTTTTTCGGCTTCAGTGGCCTCAGCACACGACTTCTTTGCAACGGCTTCGATCACTGGGCCTACTTCTCTTTCTCTTGCCTTCAACGTGTTTTGGCCAACAGCTGATAAGTTTATCGACGTTAACAAAGCATTTACGTGTGTTGGGCCAATTCCTGCATGCAGCATACCTTATAAACAGAAATATTAACATCTTACCATTGTTTAGTTGCGATTGAAAAGAAGAGCGCTGTTGTAGATAATCTAGTCGTCGAATTATCTCCAACGAAACCCATGTGTGTACCACAAGACATTTTAATTTCTAAAGTACCGAATTGTATCTTCTAATTTAGTGGTAAAATTGTCTAATTAGGCAGATTATACAAGGCATATTTAGCATGAATTTTACTACGTCTGAATCCTGAAAAGTTTTTGATGTGACTCGATCTCAACGAAAAACAATAAAATATAAACGTACCTGCGGCAAGTTTTGTGTTGACATCAAAGATTGGTCTTCCTTGGGGTTTGTTACTGGCTCGATGAGTCTTGTTTGTCAGACAAACATTAATTTCTCCGCAGTCACTGTTCGAACACGTAATGTATAAAAAGCTCCCAAGACCAGATGTTGTTTCTTGGGAACAGTTGGACAACTGAAGTGGGTTCCCACATGTTTGGCATCCACTATCGAGAGCTTTCGCCCAAACATCTAACTCTACTACCCTTTTCCTCATTGTTCTCTCTCCCATTACTCTCCGTTATTACACTAGGCTCTTCGGAATTTCTTCCGAGCCGGATACGTAGTTTTTCTCGCCTTTCATTTTCTTTTCGCTGTCGAAAACAGCCCTTTTTATCTCGCGGTCTTACAGCCGCCGCCTTTAAAAGACTGCGTGACGTTTCTCAATAATAATAATAATAACAATCTTGTATTAGGAAGCTCCATCACAATAGTGGTTTACATAGAGGTCCTAAATACTAGATGTGTATTGTATAAAAATACAATTAAAATATTTTCAATTAAGGTATTATATAAAAGTACAATTAAAGTGTTTTCAATTAAGGATGCGCAGTAGAGAATGCGCAGTGCAAAACAAGGAAATGACCTTAAATAGACCACTTTCATAAATGGCTGCCAGATTAATATTCTTTTGTTTAAATTTAAATTAGCCTTTCTGGCCTCGTTCTCCAGTACAAAATTCAAAAGAATACATTATCTCAAGCGAAGCCAGAAAGGCTAATTTAAATTTAAACAAAAGAATATTAATCCGGCAGCCATTTATGAAAGTGGTCAATACTCTTCTCCTTTCCAGCCTTGTTGACCAAATTGGTGCCAGGATTATTTTGATAATCAATAGAAAAAAACAGTTTATTCCTTTACCTTTGTTTTGCTGTTTAAGAAAAAAAATTAAATGAGCCTAACTATTATGTTTTACATTTGGTATTAAATAAATACATGGATTTTTAATTTGTGAAGTAGTTTTTGTTCCATTCGATTCTCACTTTGACGATTCTAGCTGTTTTGTGATCGTTTTTTAACAAACATATTCGTTTTGTGTTGTTGTCATTTCATAGGAGGCGGCGTGGCCAGGTGGTCAGGATGCTGGACTTGTTATCCGGTGTCCTGGGTTCAAATCCTCCACCCTGCCACTCGCTGGATTTGTTCTTGGTTGCCCCTAGTTCAACTCCTCGGCTGCGCTCTTTAAATAGCCCACTGGTCTACCTCCTGCCAGTGGGGATTTTTAAGCACTTAGTTTACATTGTGGCTGAAAGGCCCCTCCGGGGGAGCTTCAATTTACGTATTTATTTATTTATTTATTTAGTCTATTCATCACCTCAGCCATCAACAAATGAAGATTTATGTTCTCGGCAGGATCAAGATCAAGCAGAGGTAAGAAGAAGTAAAAGTGAATCGTAGTATTGGACAAAGTCTCTATTTTGTAGTTGAAAAGCTTGCAGGAAGTTGTATTACATGTAGGCACTAAAAAACATTACTTCGTTCCCAACTGGTAAATGATGAATGCTTGACTTGAAAATAGAGCATTCGTCCTCTAGAAATAAAAATCTAAAAGAAAAAAAAATCAAATACTACGACATCTTAGCTTTCATATCACGTAAGTTTCATACGAGAGGCTACACACATCGTTCAAGTCAAATCGCCACCGGTGGCGATTTCACTTTGAGTGGTGGCGAGTTTGTTACGGTGGTGAATTGACCAGATATGATTTATTTCATGATTTATGGTCAAGGTTGATCGATCGATCGATAATAATTTCATAGTTATGCTGTTGTAGAGAAGACGATACTGCTTAGTAAACGATACCAACTGCAGAAATGTTTCCTGATCAATTTAGTCGATTTATCATTTTTATTGCAAACATGCTTGTGAAGATCTGTGAATTCACGGGAAATCTACTCATAGTAACTAATATGATCCAGCCTTTCAGTTGAATGATTAAGTGACCCTAAACCCAAGCCAAACCATCCGAACAGGTCGAATGTGAAATAACATCGTGAAATATTAACCAAGATACACGAGCAGTTTCTGAAACTTCACAACTTAAACTTGAGGATTTTTTTCGCTTCCCGGAAATCCATAGTCTACGAAATAGTTTAAAAGTACCTGTTTCAGGGAACCATCAGTCATTTCCAGCTGTGCGGTACGTTCATGTAAATTACGTCTCAGTGTTCATCTGATACTCAGCTTGCACTTAGTATACTGAAAAATATTCGAATTAAGAATGAGTCTAATGATTACTGTAGTGTTTCGATATTGACGAGAATCGTTCCAGAGAAAGTAATTCTTGTGATGACTTGTCTGGTCTGTCACTAAGACTTGCACTTAACTTCTTATTAACTACCTCGAAAAGTAAAAAACATTTCCAATTAAGTTTTCCAAGGATCCTGAGAGAAATACACCGAATGAGAAAAAACGTCATACAGGCAATAGTTACTAAAATTAGGCATGACAGTGGATTTTAATAATGCAAACCACAGGCGGCCCAAGCTCTCTTCGAGAACCACGCAAGGAACACAATTTGCATATCGATTTATAAGAATTTGTATGGGATTTTCTACAAGATATCCACAGAGATAGTTAAAGTGAAAATTTAAATAAAAATGGCTTACCTTATTCCATACGTGTGATGTTTGCTCCTGGTGTCTTTATTTTACCGATTTCACTTGATTTAAGCGGATTTTTTTAATCCTGGTTTTCTCTTCTTTTTGCTAGTTTCATACTTAATTTAATCTTAGATTACGATGTTAAATTGATCCTATATTTCTGCCTTTTTTAGTTACGTTTTCTGTAAAATGTGAGGTGGGGTTGATACAAAAGATCAGATTAAGTATTTGCGTCCAACAAATCACGTTATGTTTGTCAGGATTCAGACTCCAACGATGAAGAAGGGATCAGTGTGGATGAATTGAAGCAAACAGATGGATATAGGTTATTTGTGGAAGCTTTGAATGCCCACTCGACTAAAGAGTAATTTATCACTGAAAGACCCTGGGTGCCCTCCTTAAAACTATTGATTGGTGCTGCAAAGCTTGCAGAATACATCCAGGAGGACAGTTAATCCCACCACTTTGTTTATACAGTACCCTTCCTATTTAAGCAAGTTCATTAGCTTTTGATTCCTACAAATATAGGTCAATTTAATTTATTTATTTATATATTTATTCTTTTATCTGAGTATTTTTCGAAACAACCGTTGCCTACGCCAAAAGTATTTTATGAACGTTGTAAGAAGTATTTAAGTATCTTTATGAATGCTAGGAGAAGTATTGAAGTATTTTTATGAACGTTGTATGAAGGAGGTGTAAGTATTGTTAGTATAATTTGTATACTGTAACTAGTGTAAGACTGTCGTTGGTTAAAAAAAAAAGGGAAAGAACAAAAAAAAAGAAAATTACCAGAAAACACGCTGAAAACGCATATTGAAAAAAAAACTCTTTGCGTCCATAACTTGTATCGCATTCCTCTGCACATTTAATATGCATAAAAGTTCTCCGTGATTGTGAAATGCTTACATTGTAAATGAGTACACATTTCTATAAACTTACCGCCATAATCTGCACATGGGCTTCAAAGAATTGCAGAAATAACATACATTTTCAACTTGTCTCTCTCAGAAGGCCTCAATTTCTTCAAAATAAAGAGAGCAACTGCATTTTTTTGTTGAAAGTAGAAAAGAGAGATAAAATTTTGTTCTTATGGAAAAAGTTATTTACTTTCCATTCCACTACATCAAGCAAGTTACTTAGAGGATGCCTTTAATTTCATACAGAAGCCATTTGAGACTGACAATGCACAACTATACAATGCATGAAAACTAGTCAACAAGTCATACATTTATCAAATTAAGTCAAACACTGTTGAGAGAAGATAGTGACTGGAATGGGTATTCATAAATGTTTTGGGGACTGCAAAGAGCAGTAGAGAGGGAGAGGGTTTAATTTTATTTGTCTCATGTTGATAAAAAGGTAAAATAAATAGTTGATTCAAAAGTAGAGTAGTTCTGTTGTCATCTACATGTAAAGTGGTTCTCAATATGAACACTAATTTGAACCTACTTCATCTGAAGCCTTTATCATTTACAGTCTTAAAACAACCTACATGTCACTTGCACTCAAAGAGAGACTTAATTTAAAAAAATACATAACATGTGTATTAATCTTGTACTATTCAATTTAACTGAAACCACTGCTCTTAGCCCAATATAACAGCAGGCGTTTACTGTTGAATTGAAATAAACTGTAGGAAAAATGTACCGGTATGTATAATTTATCCTTACTAACACTGAATGGGCTAGTAGGGTAATCCACAAGCACATGTATACATGTAAGTAAGAAAATAGTCAAACTTCAGAATACTTGCTAACATAACAGTGTGAAATGAATACGTCCTTATCAATAGTAATGAAAAATGTGCAAGTACAAGCACTCAAAATCAAGATTTCTCAAGTAGTTTTTTGATCAAGGGTCACTGAAAAATGATTATTCTAACAAGAGTTAATTTTTGTTATTTCATTACTGACCTCTTCTTCTCTAGACTCTGAATCCTGATCCTAAATAATGAATATGAAATCTTGAGATAACCATACCAAATTCACTCATAATACTATATTATAACATCATGTTTATTTATCGCAGTATAGTTTCACACTTATTCATCAAAGTAAAGGCGAACAGTGATGGATATTTACCTTGCCACATTGCGGCTTGATAAATATCCACCACTTTGGATGACAATGAGGAAAATAACCACACAGATACAAAAAAAAACTAGTTTATTTCTTTATTTTTAATATAGAAAAGAAAAGGTTGGAAATTAACCTTTTGATGTACAATCGTGTCTCATCAATTGCTCGGAGGTGAATGAGTCTTGCTATTCACTCCTAACTACCCAATCAGCACATGCAAAAAGCACTGTTCATCTGTGTGGTATATACTTAACACGTATATCTACATACTTCAGCTGTGTTGTTTATCAATTCATACAAACACAGATGTTGCATACTATACAGTTTGACTACCGGTACACATAAAAACAAGGACTGGAGGTGATGGGCAAGAATTTCTACACTTTGTAGCTGTTACCACAGAGCACTTTGATTCTTAGGTTGCTGCACACAGACACTGTACCTGTCTTATCAATCTTATAGGCCTGTGTCTTCTTCTCCCAAAAATTTTCCATAGTTCCTCCTTAAAAAAGGAATTAGTGAGCTTAAGCACCAGACGTTCTTGACAACACGAACGGCAGAGAAGCCGCGTAAGACTGGATCGAGGCCTTCGTTCTTGGCGCGAAATAGGAAGGTTAAGCAGTCGACGTTTATCAGACACGGACTTCTACCCGTGTTAACATGTCTTTGCTAAAAGATGCTAGAGATATGACCTTAATGAGCAAGGGAATAAGTTTCTTTACCCCACTCTCTTGACAGAATGAATAATTCGTC